AAATGCTACCAGTATTTATTTTTTCCATAGAATGTGACCACTAAAACATGTCAAATTTATAAATTAAAAAAGAAAATGTAATTGCAAAATTATAAAATAAAACAATCTTTATTTTTCATTTCTAAGTATACTTTTATTTTTTATATAATTAAAAAGATAGAATATTATATCTAATTTTATTAATGTATAACAAAATAATGTTGGTCTTTCTCAAATATCAGTTAATACTTGCAATATATTTGTATTATATGTATTATATTACATATTTATACAATTTTATTAATTTTAATATTCTAAACTAATAATTTCATAATTGCTTGATATTTGATAAACTTATTAGTATAAAAAGCATTAACAAAAATGATATAAATTAATAAATATTTAGTAAGGTAAATTTATCTGCATATCATATAAATTACTTCACTATTCACTTCACTATTAAATAATATACAAAAATAAAATATTTTCGAGAAAAATATTTTAATCAAAAATTATTTTTTTCAAGAAGTATGAAATTATAATTTTAATTTGACTTTTAGATGCTAAAATTATATGAAGATTAATACTTTGATATTTTTATAAAAATCTATATTTTTTGTACATTCTTATAGCTGATATTAAAACATATTTAAAATAGTACAATCTTCTTACATTATTTAATTTAAGAAATATACATCTATATATCTAGAAAATAAGCTTTATCTTTACTATAAAATGTAAAATTCTATATAAAATTCTATATATCTTTACTATAGAATGTAAAATTCTATATATAGAATCTAGAAATAATTTGTCAATTGTATGTGCATGCAAGTTTATATAATATAAAATTAGTTTTACCCCATTTTTATCACACAACTTGATTGTATTAAAAGATCCAACAGCAAAATAATTGCCAGAAGAATAACACCAACTAATAGCTGTTATGGGATAATCACCGACATTGCTGCTATATAATTGATGACCAGTAGCGTCCCATACCTATATCAAAAATATTATTCTTTCTTAATATAAAATATGGAATATAGATTGTAAACAAAGAATTAGTTTTTATATGATAAAATAAATATAAAGAATTTATTATTTTAGAATTCATGTATATAAAATAATTAATGTTAATATAAATACTTATATAAAATTAATATAATACATATATACAATAATATAATAAATAGAGCCTAATAAATATAATAATAATACAATAGCATTGTAAGCACAATAATTACTATAATATATTATATTTAAATTATAATTAATTATACAGATATTTTTATTAATATAGTAAATAATTTTATTATAAATAATTAATAATTACATACTTTGTATCGACAATCTTCGCCACCAGAAACTATAAGACCATTTGTTTGACTCCAACAAGCAACTAAAATGAGATTATCATGGGCATGCCACTGAAATGAAATTATATTATACATTTTATAAATATTTTCTTAAAAAATAAAACTAAGGAAAAAATCAATAATAAAATTATAAATTAAATTATTATTCTCCAATTGATTTACATATATTATGATAAAATTTTCAAAATTATTAATATAAAAAGATTCAAAAATTATTTTTTTTAGATTACTATTCGTGATTAAAGATTTTGATGAATTATTCTTCTGATTATGGAATCAATAAGTCAATTATTACTAATAATTAAAATAACGAATTTCATAAAATATTACTTTATTTTCCATATTTTTATTTTCCTCACATAGGCATATACATACTCGCGGTCAGAAGAGGTGTAAAAAATATCGAAATTTCTTAACAATTTGAAAATTACGTATTATAAAATATTTTAAACAAAAATTAGTAGTATTAATTGACATATTCAAGTATTATATTTGTTAGATTTTAAATAACATCAATGCTACAAAAATATAATTTCAAACTATTTAAATAAAAACCTACCCTACTTTACATTAATTTATGGTTTTATTGAAATGTTTTCAAAATAATATGATATGAATTCCTTTTTTTAAGAACTTCCTGAATTATAAATTAAGAGATTAGAAGACTTAATATATTACAGTTTTTTATAATAATATATTTTTTTATAATAATATATTTTTATAATAATTATTTGTATGAAGAAATTGATTTCTTAATATCTTTGGACTTCAAAATCTGTGATTCTAACTACCATTAAATGTGAATAATAATAAAAAATATTTTTGCACACAACATATAAACATATACATAAACGAACATGTATATATAAATATTCATCCAACCCGAACAAAAAATAAAATTCTTTTTCATATGGAATAAAATAAATAATTTTAGAACTTTTCTATAAATATAAATATTATTTAGAAATTATGAAAAATGTTTATTTTATTTCTGCAAATTATGGTATAACATACAAAAAAAAATAAAAATATAACTTTTAATAAATAGGAAAAAATTTCCACTTCAAATATAATCATTTATATTGAAAACATTTGAACTTTTTTTTGATTAATAAAATATTTCTGATAATAAAAAACGCAATCCAGAAGAATCGAAATCAAATCTTGAATCTGTCTTTTTTTATTTTTCAAAAATAAATATTTAAAAAAATATAAGATATTTTGTATAATCTGAGATATACAAATGAAATATCCTACATATTCTTTCACACACACACACACACACACACACACACACACACACACACACACACACACACACACACACACACACACACACACACACACACACACACACACACACACACACACACACACACACACACACAA